ACATGGTACACTTACACAAAAGCAACATGCTCATACACATAAAATAAAAAAAAAAAACTAAAAAACTTAAAAATTTTAAACTAATTAAGCCAAAGAAAGCACCTCATATATTGAGTACAACAGTAGTGGCAAAATTCAAATGGAGTTTCACGCAGGTTGTTTTGTTGTTGTTGTTTTGTTTTTGTTATTTTTGAGGGAAAGGGTCTCCTTGTAGCTCCAGCTGGCCTAGAACTCATTGTGTAGACCAGGCCGGCCTTGATCTCACAGAGGTTTGCCTCCTTCTGCCTCCTGAATGCTGGGATTATAGGTGTGTGCCACTGCGCCTGACTATGCAACATTTTTTTTTATATTAAAAAAAAATGGGGGCTGTCCCATAAGTTCTCAGGAAACCTGGGTTTACTCTTTTGAGCCCCTGAAACCACCTGATGGGCATGCACCTTCAGTCTTACTGAGTACATGACTACAGAACAGCTAAAATGGGACTCTCACCATGGAGACATGTGCGTACTAGTCCATGTTCTCCCCCAGGTTTATCTCTATAGCAAAGAGAAAGGGTGGAAACACTTTGATCTCAACCCAGGTCTCTCAAGGGCCAAGAGGAGTCCCACCACCATCCTTGTAGAAACAGACATTGCGGGTTCTGCTGTGCTGGGTGCCACCATCCTAGCCACGAGTAATAAAATTTTAGGCTAGAAGCTCTCAGATAGACAAAGCCGTCGATGTCTACAGGACTCCATTTGGCAGTTGGAGAGACAGGTAAAGATAAAATGGTGCTACAGAACAGAAGGGGGCTGGACCTGTTGTTCCTAAAGGAAGATGGCTCATACATGGCCTTAGGTGAGGTTTGCTGTTTTTACGCCAATAATTCAGGTGTAATTGAGTTTTACTGGAACTCTGGTAATATTCCTGTTAGCCTTTACAGTGGACCCATGCCTCCTAAACTGTCTAACCGGATAGATCAAGAAATGTCACAGTGTCATCAGATTAGGGTTCTAAGGACCCAATATGAGCCTCAAAATCAAAACAAGTCAAAGATTTGATTTATGTCCCAGAGCCAGTGGGGAATGTAATACCCCGAGTGCCTCCATTTTATGTAAATTTAACTGGTCAATCATCTGGTCATAGGACCACCCCTAGGAAGGCAGGTTATGCTAAATAGATGGGTGGAATACCTAGTGTGTTAATGAGATGTGCTAAATAGATGGGTGGAATACCTAGTGCATTAATGAGATAGTGACTTTTTCCTGCCTGTAATCCCACCTGTAGGTGAAGAACTTCCTAGCTACAGCCATGTAGTCTGTGAGTGCCCACTTCCCTGAGTTCTTCAGGGAAGCATAATTTCCCTTTTCTTCATGGCCTTCTTATTAAACATGCTTTCTTTAAGGCTTTGGGTTGCCCCTAGCATCTTACGTTTCTTTACTTTTTCTCTAAAGCTTCCTTCTCCCAGCCATGTGGCTGCCAGTCACCCATGTGTTTGACTTCTATGCAGGCTTGCTTTTTCTTTCTGGCAGAACTGAAAAAAATTGGGCCTGCGGTATTCACTCTAAGTTCTTTCTTTCTTTCTTTCTTTCTTTCTGTCTTTCTTTCTGTCTTTCTTTCCTTTCTTTCTTTCTCTCTCTTTCTCTCTCTCTCTCTTAAAGGCTCTACGGCTATCTTCCTTTCTTCCTACCATTCACCTCCTCAAGGCAGCTGACCAGCTCACCCTGCCCTGAGGATTTCTTTTTCTTTAAAATTCTAATAAAATTGTAAAAGCCTTAAAAAAAAATTGGAGCTTGGAGAGATGGCTCAGTAGTTAAGATGACTGACTGTTCTTGTAGAGGACCTGGGTTTGATTCCCAGCACCCACATGGTACTAACAACCATCTGTAACTCCAGTTCCAGGGGAATCTGATGCCTTCTTCTGATCTCCACAGGCATTGTATAACATGGGTATACTTATATATATGCAGGTAGTATACTCATAAACAAAATAAAAATAATAAAAAAATTTTAATTAAAAATTTATTATTTTTTAAATTTATGTGTACATGTGTGTGTCTATGTGTGAATTTGTGCACATAGTACAGTATTGGAGTTACAGGCTCCTATGAACCATCTGATGTAGGTTGTAGGAACTGAACTCAGGTCTTCTGGAAGAGCAGCATGTGCTTTTAGCTGCTGAACTCTCTGTCCAGCCCCTTGACAATTTTCTTTTAAATTAGCCTTTCCAGGTGAATTCATAAGTGTCTCATTGTTAACTAAGATGGCAGAGGAGCCTAAATTATTTTTCTTTCAGGCAATTTTGCCCAGCATTTTTGTTAGTCATGACTCTGGGCTGGGCTATAGGTTTGCTAATGTGAATATACCCATCCTGCTGAAGTGAAATTCGTTTTTGCAGAACTGATGAAAGCAGCAACACCCTTTAGAATGTTGGAATGCAGCCCTTCTTTGTAAAGTTCATCAGAGTTTAGGCCTGCTTTTCATATGTAATTGAATATTTATTAGAACAGTATTAATCATCTGCCATAACATGTTAGACTCAGCCTATTTTTGGTTTGTAAAAATGTTTATAAAAGGTTTGTGAAAATACAGGGAAGAATATATACTATGATAGTTAAAGAATAACAAAAAATAAAAATTATGTATGCAGTATCATAAAAATGTGAAGAAACGCCTAGAGTGAAAAAGTCAAAGTACTGTTAGAGCCCTCTTTTTCCCTTTTTGATGTATGTTCACTGTGGAAAATTTGGGCATGTAAACACACAATGCATATGTGTGCCCTTTCTTTTTTCCTCCACATGTGTCATTTGCCAGATATATTGCTAAGACTGAGAAGACTTCATATGAGTATAGCTCGATTTTTACTTCAAATACAATGACTTAGCTGTTGTGATTCTCTTTTTTCTTCTTTTTTAAACCAAGACAATGGTTATATCATTTTAAAGTGCAAGTTATTAAATAAATTACCATTCTGAATCTTTTAGCATATAATATTGTGTTAGGGGAAATTTTAAGAAAAATTTAAGGCACAGTTTCTGTCTTCTAGACTGAATTGAGTGAACTAGACTGATTGGTGAAGGAGAGTTCATAAGTCATAATAAGCATAATAAAGAAGTTAAATGAGATTCTTTTTAAAGTTTTATTTTATTTTATGTGTATGAGTGTTTTGCCTGCATGTGTATAAAGTGCACCCATGTTGTGCAGTGCCCATGGAGGAGCGAGGAGGGTGTTGGATTCCTTGGAACTGGAGTTATGGAAGGTTGTTAGCTGCCATGTGGCTGCTGGGATTTGAACTCGGGTCTTCTACAAGAACAGCCAGTGCTGTTAACTGCTGAGCCATCTCTCCAGCCCCCAAATGAGATTCTTAGATAGCTGTAAATAAAACTAACATTTGCATTCAGTACCATGAGCATTGAGACTAAAGACGGTTCATCCAAATGTGAAGTACCTAGAAAAGACCCAGAATATCATGAGTGAAAGGTAGTCCTGAACAGAAATAAATGAGTTAAAGTAAGTGTGCATTTAACTTCAAGAGCTAGCCTTACCTGGCTAACGCATTCTTTTGAAAGGATCATTAAGTATTCAGTTCCTTACAGAAAACAAACAAAACCCACAGCCCTACTGACAACACCAATGTTGTCAGTAGCAGGGTCTGAAGTAGTCTGAGAGCAGGAGAGAAACACAGGCTGTGAGAGAGCCTGGATGTAAGCAAGGGAAGAGAGCCTGTTTTGAATGAGAAGTATTTCAAAAGCTCTTTCCAAGCATGGCTGTCTTTCCTTGCAGTTGGTGTTGTTAAGGGAATTAGAATGTAAATATTTGAGTATTTTTATATTAAGATATTGATTTGTAACTCCCTTGGGCAAGTATCATTTACCTTTCAATATACAGTATTATTTTTTACTTAATTGGAAAATATGTATTGAATTGATAAAAATTCTGATTTTTTTAAAAAAGGCCACTTTGTTCGTTTTTAGACCTCATTTCAAAAAGTAATTTTTATAATTAGTTCAGGACTGAAGACTGTAATTTAGAAACACTCAAAAGGATTTTCCTTTATAGATTTTTATTTTCTCTCTTTTTTATTTTTTTGGTGGAGGAGTGGGTCATAAATGTTCATATATATATACATATATATATATATGTATGTTCATGCTCCAGTTTTATGTGTCTGCCTTGCAAAATAATTATAATCTGATTTCGAGTTCCTTAAGCTTGAAAGCTATTGGGAAATGCCAGTTCAAAGATACACTAATCCCTTCACCATTTAGAAAGAATAGATTCCTTTCATACTTAAACAGTTTATTCTTTTCAATATTGAATGCCTACCTAGCCTTTTTAAAAACAAAAATAGATTAAAACACTGTAGAGTGAGTTGTCTTAAAAATAGACTACACCTTCCTGAATTCTAATAGATTTAACACTTAATACACATATCGGTTCTTTATAGGAATAAATGTAAAATGGACGAGCCTTGAATGTGAGAGTATTTAAATGGTTCTCAGGATTTTCTGGTTCATGTGTTGTGATATTGAACTCTTTAGTCTTGGGCTTTAATTTGAGCTTGGTGCCGACCTGATGCTGTGCGGGGACACTCATCGCATCCCTCCATTCAGTCCCTCTAATTATCCCAACTTCCCGGGGAGCTTGCTCAGAACTGGGCATGAGTGCCTGTTATTAAAATATTGGGCTACCCTGGTTACATGTAGCAAGATAGTTTTTGATACCAGATTTATGCACAGATGAACTGAATTGGAAATAAAGTTGTTTGCTGTGATTTACTTAAATAGGTATGGTGTATTATGGAAATTATTTGGTTAGACAATGGATTAGGCATTTGTAATAAATGAAATCATGGGTAATACAGTGCTTGAGCCTTTTTATTGCCTTGTTTTTTAGCTCATATTCAAAGAGAAATCTGATTCGATGTGAAGCAATCAGATTTGCAGTTTTGCATCTGTTTATGGATGATGCTAATTCTTTTTGCTGGGAGCATCTGTTAATGTGGGGATTTGTCTCTTCAGGTTCATGTGAAAATGGCGGATGAGGCTGTCTGTGTTGGCCCAGCTCCCACCAGTAAAAGCTACCTCAACATGGATGCCATCTTGGAAGCCATTAAGAAAACCAGGGCCCAAGCTGTGAGTCTGAATGAACCTATCTACTGCAGCTGTTTTGTATGTAGTGAGCGGAAAGCTAGAGTTTGTGCTTAAAAAAAAATAAGAGAGAGTGATTGAAAATGCTGTTGTAGTTAGTTCATGTCACATGAGTTAAATGTGGCCGAATTCGCTACTGGAAATCAAAGGCTTTGTAGCATCTGGCAGTGCTGGTCGCTGATCCTGCAGGTGGCTGCTGGATTCAGCTTTCACACCAGGGAGCAGTTTCAGTTCATTTCCAAATTTGCTAGGAAAAAAGAAATCCCAATTAGTTTTGAGTATTAACCCTTTCAGTGTAATAGGAACATTAAAAAAGAAAAAGAAAAAGAAAAAAAAAAAAAAACCCCTCTGTGTTATAAACACATTCTAAAAGACTGTATAAATCATTTAAGAAATTGTGTATACCAAGTTATATTGCTAGAAATAAAAATAGTACATTTCCTAATTATTCTAGTTAATGTCAACAAAATGCTAATAATTTGCATTGATAAAAGCAATACTTTTCTCCACCCTTAATTTGGGCTGAATTTTGTGGAATCCAGGGCAAAAGCTAGTTTCTGACATCAGGCATATTGATTTTGGATTTTTCTTTTTAATATCAGAGAATTAATTATATTAATTCTATTAAAAACTATGTAGAGTTAGCTGTAAAACTGCGTAGATGTGGCTAACAGCTGACATCAGCCTGGGGGGCATCCAGTAGTGTTTTCATTTCTTGTGAAAGAAATGTTTAAAATACATGTTTAAATAAAAAATGGACTTCATATTATAGATAGTTTACAGTATATTAGCATGCTTAACAAAAGTAAAATTTACCTTTTAAACTATAGCTTCTCAGGGTGCAATCTTCAATGTACCATGTTCATAAAACTCAATTCAGCATTACAAAATCTCTGCTATGGAGCTATGTCTTGTTATTATATTGACTCCTTCAGAAATTTGATTTTCCTTTCAAGTGGAATTCTTTTACTAGAAACTGGTTCAACATTGTTGGAGTGACTAAATTTATGGTTAACTAAATTTATGGTTAGCTAAATGTGGTAGAGTGAAAGTGATTTGATTGGAACAGGGTTGCAGAATCTAGAATGTAGCACTGGCTTGTGGTGGGGACAGCATAAGGTCATTATGAATGGCTAAAACTGGAATGAGGAAAGAAAGAATAGATAGAAGAAAAGAAATCAGAGTATAATATCCAGGTCAAACCATCTTCCATTTCAGTACAGTTTGACAGAGGAAGCTCTGGGGAGCACTTGAGTATCTTACACTGTCAGGAATAAAATGTGCTGCTTGGTGTAGAACTTGGGGTTTTACAGAACAGTGGTTTTGGTATCATAAAGGAAAGAGAATTCAGAGTTTTCCATCCATTTTGCCAAAGGTCTGTGTATCATGATTCTTTGACCCAGTAGTCTTTGTGAAATGCTCCAAACTGGTTGACCAGAGTTAACCTCAGGAAAAGTGAGGGGAGTCTGTGTTGAATAGACAAATACAACTGGGCAGGCTGATAGATGTTATATGGTCTGCTGATAACTAGAATGAAGGAGGAATTTGATTCTGTTTCCAGAAGTATGCAATAGAACATCTGAGCAGCCAGCACAATGGTGCACTGTACGTGTGACTTAGACAGATGTACAATATGATAAAGTTAAAAGAACTTTTTGTTTTCATTTCTTAGGTACACCCAGGCTATGGATTCCTTTCTGAAAACAAAGAATTTGCCAGGTATTTGGTAAGTTTGTAACAAGCCAGAAATGATTAACTTATTTCAGAAAGTAGCATAAAACATGACTTGTTTCTTGTTTGTAAAGATTTACAGAATTCTAATTGATCCTGATCCACCAATTCTTTGAAAATTGTTAAGGTGAAGAGTTTTTATTCTGTAATCCAGATCTTGACTTGAAGAGTAATTATAAGAATGGAAAAGTCATAAAATCACCATTCTGGTTAGTTTATCACATTATGTGATCTTTTGAATTTTAAAATATAACATTTCAGATTTTAAAATGTAAATATGGGGCTGGAGAGAAGGCTCATGGTTAAGAGCACATGCTGCTCTTGCAGAGGACCTGGGATTGTTTCCAGCACCCACACTGGGTGGCCCCCCAAATTACTTTTGACTCCAGGCCCAGGGGATGTGGCACCCTCTTCTGGCCTCTACTGGCAGCTGCAGTCATGTGTATATACTCTCACCCAGACACACATGTACATGTAATTAAAAAAATAACAATCTTTTAAAAATATAAACGTGTCAGGTTGTCCAGCGACCTATTGCAGTTATTTGTTGTCATAGGAGGAGCATGGAAAGTAAAGTCAGAAGTAAGAGTTCATTTCTCCATTTTTATTGCAAATTGCGGCACTTAGGGTCAGGTCCTATTGCGTCTGTTTTGGTAAAAGTTTGTTTGAATGGTCTGAGTGTTCTTATAGCACTGTCCCACTTAGGCAAATTAACCTATATTTGTATTAAACTTTTTTTGAGTTATGTTTATAATTATATACAAGATGACATGGAAACCTACTTTTTTAGGAACTAAAACATATGATTTTGATTATTGTTTGTGAATTTTTTGATTAGATCAATTATGTCAGATAGTGAATTATTAAATTGTCTTTCTGATGTTAATAGATATGTTAGAACTTTTCCCCCCACTTTGCTAACTTGTATTCTGTTCTATGAACCCAAAATTATGTGCAATTAGCATTTTCTAGGTAAAATTTTAAAACATCTATAATTTACATTGAAACGATTCTTATGATTGTAGAATTATAGCTTAAAATAGTCTGTTTTAAGTAACTTGCTTTATGGATTAAAAACCAAGAGTGGTATCTGGAGAGAAGAGTCAGATGGAAACACCTGGAGGTCTGGACTCACTAGTTGTGCGGTGGCACCTTCTGGTTTTTCTTGTGTGTTATTCCTTTGCTTTTGTCTTTTTTGGAATTTTGCCTAAAGTTTCAATATTCAGATGCAGTGTAATCTTTTACATCTAAGTCTGTATAGATGTCATGTTGGCAAACTTGTTCATGGGACAAATACAGCCTGCTTTTTGTAAATAAAATTTTGTTTTTATTTTTTAATATTTATTATTTTTATGTGTGTGAGTGTTATGCCTGCATGTATGTAAGTGAATCTGTGTAGTGCAGAGCCCATGGAGGTCAGAAGAGGGTGTCGGATACCCTGGAATTGGAGTTATGGCTAGTTGTTAGCCACCATGTGGGAACTGGGATTCGAACCCAGGTCCTCTGGAAGAGCAGTCAGTGCTCTTAACTGCTGAGCCATCTCTCCAGCCCTGTTAATAAAGTTTTATTGAAACCCAGCCATGCCCATTCATTTATGTATTATCTCTGGCTGTTTTTGCCATGTAACAGAGATGAATGGCCTGCCAAGCCCCAGATAATACCTCATGGCCTCTTTAGAAACAGCTTGGTAATTCTGGGTGTGGATGACACTCAGGGAAGTGAAATGCTGAGGCCACTCTGCCTCCCGTGTGCTGGGATTAAATCTTCCTGATTTTTTACTAATCTTGTCTCTCCCACTTTCTTTTACCAACAACTCTGTGCTTCTACCAAGCCTGACCATGTGGTCCTGCCAAACATGCTGCCTCTCTCAGGTTTGGTAGAGGTATACAGTTGTTGGTAAAACGAAAAGGGGGAGACAAGATTAGAAGAAAACTTGGGGAGAAAGGAAAAAGTGGTGGAACACCCTACATCAAAATAAATAAAAGTGTTTTTGTCACCTTTTTTTTTAAAATTTTTGAGACAGCGTCTCACTCTGTATCCTTGGCTGTCCTGAAACTCTCTATGTAGACCAGGTTGACCTTGAATCACAGAGATCTGCCTGCCTCTGCCTACTGAGTGCTGGGATTAAAGGCATGTATCACCATGCCTGGGCAAAGATTTATTTATTTTTAATTTTATGTGAATATGTATATGCTTGCATGAGCTTTTGTATACCACATGCATGCAGATGCCCTTGCAGGTCAGAAGGTGTCAGATCCTCTGGAACTAGTTACAGGTGGTTGTGAGCGACCATGTGGGAATGGAAACTTGGTCTTTTGCAAGAACAACCAGTGCTATTAGCCACTGAACCATCTCTCCAGCCACAATAAATAAATCTTAAAAATGTTTCCATCAAAGTGTACCATTTGAGATAGGCTTTTTACAGTAGCTAGTCCTAGTTAGTGAGTTCCATTAAACACACACACACACACACACATACACAAATGAAATTGCTTAAAGGTTTTGTTATGTTGTGTAAGCACTGTGTGATATTGTTTATTCCATTTGGAGATAGTCTTAGAAATTTGATGATTTTGAATGTTATGGCAGTGGATTACCATGGTGCAGACATTTTTGGTGAGAGGAACTAGAAGATTGTAAACTTTTTGTGTGTGCTGGGGATTGAACCTAGGACTTTGTGCATGCTAGGCAAGTTCTGTTACTGCTGAGCTATATTCTTAAACCCTTAAATCTGTTTTTATTTTGAGTTTGATATTGTAGAATTCCTTTTTTAAAATACTGTGCCTTATGTTTTAAATTTAATGACATAATAGAGATTTTCATTGATTTCTGGTTTTGCTTATTGTCAAAGACCAATGTAGTTTTTTGTTATAGAATATATATTTGAGTTTTATCATTTAGTATATTTTATGTAATATGTGTAACTGAAATGATTCGATATTTTCTGAATGTGGTATATATTTCTTTTAGAAAGTATCTGATAAAAGGCTGGGAAGATGGCCCAGTGGGTAAAGGCACTTGCTGCCAAATCTGATGATCTGAGTTGGATCTCTAGGGACCCACATGGTGGAAGAAGAGAAGCAGCTCCCCCACGTTGTCCTCTTACCCCCACATACCTCCTGTGGTCTATGTGTCCCCACACATAAACACACAAATATAAAAATATACTTGGCTAGGGATATATCCCAGTGCTAGAGCATTTGAATGAGGCCTTAGGCTTAATCCTCAGTATGCTCCCCCAGAAATAAAAACTGTGGATTAAACTTTAAAGACTGACAATTTTTTTTCCTTGATTAAAAATTATTTTTTACATTTATTAAGTGTATATATGCCATAGTGCACATGTGGCGGTCAAAGGACAACTTGTAGTCAGTTCTCCTTTTCTACTATGTGGGTTCTGGGGATAGAACTCAGGTCATCAGGCTGGTGGCAAGCACCTTTACCTGTTGAGCCATTTGCTGGTCCTGATAATTCTTGATTTTTTAATTTTAATTTTTTATGTGTATGAGTGTATTGCCTGCATGCATATAAGTACACCTGTGTCATGCAGTGCCCATGGAGGTCAGAAGAGGGTGTCAGATCCCCTGGAATTGGAGTTATGGATGATTATTAGCTGCCATGTGGATGCTGGGAATCAAACCCAAGTCCTCTGCAAGAGCAGCTAGTGCTCTTAACCGCTGAGTCATCTCTCCAGTCTCCTGACATTTCTTTATATTCAAATTATGAAAGGGAGATTCAGATAACACATGATCTGTACTGCAAATGATTTGAATAAAACCATGTCTTTTTGTTTGATGGTACTGAGATAATTTATTGAAAAAAAGAGCTGCAAATAACTGTCATAAAGAATAGTAAATTTCAGTAATTTCAGTGTGTTGAACAAGCATTGTATTTTCCAACTGTTTTCTATTTTGCGTTCCTTTCTAGGTTCTTTCATTCTGAGTAGTAAAAGACCAACAATAGCAGAGTGGGAGGATTATTTGGATTAAGGAAAGAAATTCTCTCAGAGTACATAAAATGCTTTTGAAAAGTAAAACAACTAGTTCCTAGGAAAAAATACTAGTCTAGAGATTTCATAGCTTTCCTAATTCTCTTCCATTTTGGCACATATGTGTACACACATGTATAATACACACATAGTATCATACCATTTTAGTTTGGTGCACTATTTTGTTACAGTAATTAGCCTTATAAGACAGTTATAAGTTGGTTTTAGCAACTTCTGTATTATGTTTGATATATGTATTGAAAAGTTTACTCCTGTGTAAAAACACTGATTGCTTTTTGTAATGAAGGGAGTGTAGCGAGCATTTGAGGCTTGGGGATTATATTCTTTCTGTCTTCTATCCTTGGAGAAATTTTATCAAATTAAGGAATATAACTATTGAAAAAACAATAACTCTATGTATTTTAATCCATCTCTGTATTGACTGTTGCTCAATGGAACAGAAGCATCTCTGAAAGCAGCACTAATCTATGGGTTATAAATATAAAAATTTAGAAGACGGTTTGACAGTGTGTCCATTTAGCAAAATAGCATTTGTAGTTTTAAAAATTTTTATTTATTATTTTTATTTTATGTGTATGAGTGTATTGCCTGCATGTATGTAAGTGCACTAGTGTCGTGCAATGCCCATGGAGGTCAGAAGAGGGCTTCAGATCCCATGGAATTGGAGTTATGGATGGTTGTTAACCACTATATGGGTGCTGGGAATCGAACCTGGGTCCTCTGCGAGAGCAGCCAGTGCTCTTAACCACTGAGCCATCTCTCCAGCCCCCAAAATAACATTTGTATGTCTCCTCCCATGCCACTCTAACCCCCATGGTCTATGATCTCCCAGCTATGGGCTTTGACTAGGTTTACAGTATCAGGCATGGATTCCCTCCTGTGGAGAAATTTTTTTTTTTTTTTTTTTAACTTTTGAGACAGAGTCTCATATAGTCAAGGCCAGCCTTGAACTTGCTACGTAGTTCAGGGTGGCTGCTTTATGCAGT